TTGAACATTGAAAATTCTCTTCATCAAATACTCTCTAATGAACTCCTAAACAAATGTAGATTCTCCTAAACGTCCTTGTTTCTGAATCTGGATTTGGCTCACTGTGACAATCAATTTTGACATTAGTACTTGGGTTTCTTTCCATCAACTCTAGTCCATAGTACCTCAACAAGCCATATTGTTTGGCATAATCCAAAAATGCATGCTTCTGAGCCAATGAATTTGCCTGATGTACCTTCATTCTTGACATGTTCATATCGAATTTATGGATGAGATCTTCTTTTAGTACATTGACTGGAATGGTTGTATTAGTTTCAATTTGCTTCATAATGTTGGTAGCAATGAATTTGTAATTACAAGCTTTAATGGTTATTGATTACATACACCGGTGTTCATTCACTAGGGTCTTGATCATCCAGTCACCTGTCTCTTTAGGTCTAGACACTAGTACAACCCAAGGACATGTACCCTGTTTTAAATTTATAGTTTTGTCCTTAAATCCAATCCTTGACTTTGTCCATGGCCCACCACTCATATCTGGGACCACACCTCTACACCTCGCCCTAATCCTTGTTTTGTCATTTTTTTTTTCAAAATGCATATCCCTCTTGGTTTCTACTACATATTTGTTGATATAATCTTTCACATCTTTCTTTGTTTTGAACTGTTGTCCCAAAGTGAAAGCCTTTGCATGAACTTCACCCTCATAACATGCTTTTTCCTTTCCTATGTCTCTCGACATCCTCTCTCTGTAGTTATATTCACCTATAATAGGTGATTCAAATGAGTCTGGGTCTATGACCTCCAAATCTTCACCCTCAGTCAACTCAATACCAATAATACTTGCTTCTTTTTATGTTTTTGGAATCCACTCAACATCTTCATGCACATGTATATCAAAATCTTTCATATCAACATCCACATCATCTATAATATTTTCGAAGTCCACAAAGAAGTCTTCATCTTGACTATCATCTGTCCCACTGCCCTCACTCCTACTACCCTCACTCATACTACCCTTACCCCCACTATATTCATCCTCAAAGAACTCATCCTCCTGTAGATTTTTATCCCCACAATATTTTGCGTCTACATCCCCCATTACTTGGTAATCATCCCCTGTATCAGCAACCCCTTTGTGCTTTGTAATCATCCCATGTGGCAGTGGCTCTTTTAGGTTGGTCATCCTCAAACTTGACCCCCCCCCCCCCCCCCCCCCGAAAGGGAACAAAATGATCAGCTAAGTGTTTTTGGTTGATTACAACTTCCTAGGGTACATTGAAATTTGACGAATCAGTGGGCTCATTTAAATCCAACTTTTTACTATATGACCCAACTGATTTCCTTTTTAGTCTAACCCTATTCGTTTCAGGAGAAGCATCCCCTTCAACTTCCTTAATACAAACTTCCAATGGGGACTTTAAGTAAGGCACTATTCTAGTCTTCCCATGCTCAATATACAAATTAATTTCCTTGTGATTAGGCACATACCTTGCCAACTGAATGACTTCTTGATCGATGACAAGGGGTAGCAATCCACTATCCAAGTTCGTGTATGGGATCATGAAATGGTAGAAAATTATACCTCCATCATTGTACCCTAAAACTGCCATCATATCATCTAACTCGTGGATTGAAAACACATCCATGTCCACAAAATCAAAGTGATCCACAAGCCCTTCCATGTACGACCTTCCAGGAATCGTATTGGTGAACCAACCCCCATGGTTTATCTTGAATGTGCAAAGGCTTGCTACAGAACTTTATGTGAAAATTCAAGAAACAAATGTTACAGAAAGAGGAAAGCAAAATTAAAGAGAAACAACATTTCGTCAACCCTAGCATTACAAGGTCTATGCTTACCATAATCTTTACACATGTCAAGTTCTTGGCTATAGCATGGACGTAACGACCACAAAGTGAGCACCATTATCATCGAGACCTTTGAATCAGTTGCAATCAGAAGATATGAACTAAGGATTGAGCCAACGTCTTGAAGAAGATGAGATTATCAATATGTTTTCTTGGGGAAAGAGAGAGAGAGGTGAAAGATAATGATGTATGAAACTCAACCCCCGCCACCTTTATGTTTAATGCTCTTCGGATAACTGTTCACAAACAGTATTTTTAGGTGAAATGACTAAAATACCCTCATGTGCAAGGCACACGGGGGCATGTTAACGTTGCATTTAGACAGACATGCAACACAAGGACCGTTTGCGTTCTAAGTTACGTCCGTAGGTACCATCTAAGGAAAAAAAAACTTTCGTAGGGACTACTTCAAGAAAAAAGTACAAACTTAAAGAACCATTAATGTAATTTACTCTGATTAATATTTACAATGATGTATATGAAATTTTCTCTTTTATAATCCCCTAACCAAATAAGCTACGGGAACCAAAACTATAAAAATGTAATCAGACCATTTCTTATAATTTAAAAGGTTATCATAATGTGGCATGATCTGATATGAAAATACACATTTGTTTATTTTTAGTTAGCTTGTAAATTAAAAACTTCGGATCCATAAAATTGCATTAAGTTATAAATAATATATTATACAAACTATAATAAAATAAAGAAAAGGTAAATATCTCTTGTCTTTTTTTCGATTCATATAAAATAATGTCACATAAAATCTATTAATTTTCTTTTATAATTTTGACATTTGTCTTGATATTATGATTTAGAGTGATATTTGATTTCTTTAGAATAAAATTGGTGAAATCAAACTATCATATAATGGCTTGTCTGGTTTGGAGAGTGGTTCTTCATATAAATGTCTCAAGTTCAATAGCTTTGCTTCAACCAAAGGTGACCAAGAAAAGATTTACAACATTATTTGACAAACGTATTCGATAATTCGAATCTTTCACCAAACTGAGAACCTTTTCTTCTGGAGAGCCCATAAAAAACGGAAATATCCTTATAAAAAGAATTAAAAAAAAATTGGTGAATGGATAACGTGAGGGTTAGAAAGTCACGTGAGAGGCATTAGGGCGGCTAAGTGACACGTGCAGACGAAGCCAAACCGGAAATAGGAAACAAGATGTTGACGCTGGGCGGATGGGCCACACCAAAAATAGTAAAATACCAAAAATTGGTCCCAACGAAAATTGTCGGTGGTCCATTACTCCATTTCTACTTCTTAAATAAGTTTCCAATATTACCCTTTGAAAGCAACCCCACACATATTTATAAAATTATAAGTAATTATACGTACCTTTTATATTATAGACATCACAATTTTATAAAAATAAATGTTTTTTTAACAAATCTTGAAGGCCATCATGCCAATGTTTTTCTTGTATATGATCATAAATTTTCTTTCGGACTAATGATGATTTGTCTATAAAAAGATGCAAATAATGCTGATTTAAGAAATAATAAATGCTTATTTTGATGGGTCTAATGTTAATGGGTATATTAGTCATTTGAGCATTAGTTTCAATAATATATGTTTATATGTCTGTTAAATAATAAAATCTAATAATTATTTTATTTGTAAAGTTACGGTTTAAATCGTTAATGAATTTAAAAATGTACTAATAATATTTTTAATAAAAAAGTAAATATTTTTATTAGAAAATATGATAATCAATTTCATAATAAAATAAATTTATTTAAGACAATTATGTTAATTTTTGTAAACAACATTATATATGTGTATAAAAGTACATGTTTAAAGACATTACAATATTAAAATATTAAAGTTCATACAAATATAATAACAATAACAATTTTTATATAAGAAGCTTCAAATAATTTAAGAAAGAGATTTATTTGGAATTATTCTGTTATTATCATATGACCCTTGATGTGTATCAGAATCCAGCCCTCACGATTCCAAAGAGACGTAAGTGTTTGAGGTCCTGACCTTGAAATTACAACATACAAGTGAGTCGTTCATCACGAAAGTTCCCGGGAGAACGCTCCGATGATAAAGTCAGCCAATTAGACAGGGAGAATAGAATCGTATAAAGTGTATATTAGACAAATATTTGCGTACCTCTTCCGGCTTACTGGGGTTCCCTTTTTATATCGACTTTCCTTAGGAATCGGGTATACAGTGCAGACGAGGGCTTAATCGTAATTAATGCTCTCGCTACCGAAGGTATGAAAACGGTACTAAGGAGAGGTCACAAGTCATATCAGTCTGTTATCGATGAACTGATAGGATGTTAAAGTAATGTACGACATGTACTTTATTGAGACTATTAGTTATGCTTTCCCGTTACTTGGTCTTGCCGCTTAATCCTTCGTCCGACCTTGCGTATCCGCTCGCGATACCGCCCTTTAGCTCCTCTTACCGGGCGATAGGCTCGGTATCAATGGTCCGAAGATTTATGCTTCAGAGCCTCGGTATTTATGGTTGGGAGGTACATACTTCAGTAAGTCGGTATATACCTCATTAAGTCCCCCTAGTTAGGATTGCTGAGTTGCAATTCAAACTAGACTTTAGGTCGCATGGATTTTCTCGGGAAGCGGATAAATCCCATTTTTTCCATACGTACTTGATTAGACGGTTACCCACTTTCTGACTTTCATTATTCCACTGTAGCGTCGCAACCTTCACTTCAAACCGTCTAATTTTTTCTATAGAGTTATAAGCAAAGAGACCAATTCTCTGTTATCTGCAATCATTCCTTCACTTCTTTCTTCCTCTAAATCCTTTTTTCCTTAAAACCTCACCCTTGATCCTTCATCATGGCTAAAGATAGCTTTCGGATCCATACTACCCTGTTGATCCTTACCCAAAACCAATTAGACGAGTTGGTGAAGTCTTATCGCATAGATCCTCGATTTCGTCCCCAACTTCCATCTCCAAATCAAACCATCACCAATCCTCCATTGGGTTGTGTCAGAATATACTCGATTTTCTTTAGGTCGGGTTTACGCCTCCCATCCTTTCCATTTTTTAGAACCGACCTTGATTACTATAAGGTTCATATTGCACATATAACCCCTAATGGTTTCTGGAAGATTATCTATATGTGACCATGATTACCAAATATTTTATATCCTTCTCCCTTCGTCGTGGAGGAATCGACATATGTGATGGTCTCCCTTCGTCGATCAAAAAATGGAAAGAGGAATACTTCTTTGTTGATGCTTCAGCCATCATCATGCGTATGCAATTTGGTAACCTAGCGAATCGTGATTCTGACCCCGTTCTGGAACTATCAGATGTTGAACATAACGTTGTCAAGAGGCTTATTGCTAACTTCCTTGTTTGTTCCGACCCTAAAGAATCGACCTTAAGTTTGGCTAATTTGGGTAGCACTTATGGAGTTCCCGTAGGAGTTTCAGTCCCTATTCTAAGGGTTAGTAACCCTACCTTACTGGAGTCGCTTCATCGTAAGCGTTGGTCCAAAGTTGTCCAAGGGGCAGCGCATCTACCACTAAATCTAATCCTTCATCTAATGCAGATGTCGAGGGTGAGTATGAAACGAGTATTCATTCTACCGTCCCTAACAGCCCTGCGAATTCTATCGACATTTCCTCTTCTACTAACTAAGTAAACCCTTTGTTGAACTAACTTTTCCAATTTGACACTTTTTGTAACGCCCCGTTCCTGGTACGCATTTAATTTATTAATCAGGTATTTATTCTTGAGCTACTCGACGAGTTGGTAGCCCTAACTCGTCGAGTAGATGCCAGAAAGGACGTGGGGTTTAAAGAGTCTACTCGGCGAGTCCAAGCATGGACTCGACGAGTAGGTCTGCCAGGAGGAAACCCTATTTTCGGGGGTTTTCACCCTATATAAGCCACTTAAACCCCCTTTGGGCCTCCCTTACCAGCCTTCCTGCCCTCCAGAAACCCTAATCCGATTGAGAGCTTCCCTTTAAGATTTTGAGTGTGTTTTTGTGTTATTTAAGATAGTTGGAAGATCTTGGAGCTAGCAAGCTTGTGGAAGAGGAACAAGATCCAGGAGTACATTCATCTTTGGCAGCTTTCTGAGGTAAAAAGCTCTTAGCTTGATAACCCATAGCTTAGATCTCCTTTAATGTTGATTTGTGGGTCTTTTTGACCTTTTGAGTGGTATAAGTTGCTTCCCATGGGTTGTATGCTAAGCAATCCCTCTTTCCTGTGATATTTGGCCTCTAGAGTCATAAAAGGAGTCTTGAACCCGTTTTCATCCAAGCCATGGTCATGGTTATGGAAGTAGGTTGCTATAACTTGAGTTTGGGTCAATTTGAGGTGTGCAAAGCCATCAAGTCTCCAACTTTATAGAAATGGACCATGGAAACAACCCATATCTATATTTTGGAGCTGTAGAAGTGTGAAACCAGTTATCTAGGTTAGATCTGCAAGGGACTCGACGAGTTCATAAGGGAACTCGGCGAGTCCGATGAAGAAACCTCGATGATGTTCATAGGACTCGCCGATTTGATTCAGGAACTCGGTGAGCAAGAGGATCTTGTCCCTTTTCTGATTATGTCAGGACTCGGCGAGTCTGAGGACGACTCGACGAGTCAGTTCGATGAATCGCGATAACAAGTAGCTTGGGAACTCGACGAGTCATGGGGTGACTCGGATAGTCAAGTCGCGATTCTAGGGTTCTGAGTTCTAGGACTCGGCGAGTCACAAGGCTGACTCGGCGAGTCTGGTCAACTTGGAAAGTTGACCTTGACCAGGATGTTGACTTTGACCAGGGGTAGAATGGTCATTTTACCCTAAGAATAGTTATCAGTTTCTGACTAAGTGTCATTATGAAATTTATAGCCGAAGAGTTACCGGAGCAGCAGACAGGGATTTCTCACTCAGATTTTCAGCAGTCAGTCTTGCGAGGTGAGTTTCCCTTCAGTAGGAATGGGTCTAAGGTACCAAGGTCGGCCCGTAGTATGATATGTTAGTAGCTGAGTGTGGGCGGGGCCCGTATCTCTTAGTAGCTGAGTGTGGGCGGGGCCCGTATCTCGAAGTAGCTGAGTGTGGGCAGGGCCCGTATCTCAGAGGCAGCAGAGTGTGGGCGGGCCCGTATCTCTTAGTTGCATGTTATATGTGTATGGTATGTGGTAATCTGGGGAACTCACTAAGGTTCGTGCTTACAGTTTTCAGTTTTGGTTTCAGGTACTTCCACTAGCAAGGGGAAGGGCTCGGAATGATCGCATGGCACACACCACACTCTTCAGCCTGGGAGTTTTACTCTGATATTTTGATATGAGATTTTGACATGTGACATATATTATGATACTTTATGATACATGATACACGATTTTATTTATGAGTATGGATGATTTATGGTTTTAATGATGATTTGAAAATGAAATTTTTGGACCGTATTTTTGGAATATTTCAAGTTGGTATCAGAGCCTTGGTTTGAGGGATTCAGGCATGCTCTTGGGTGTGTCTGAACTCAAACTAAGGAATTGGTATGAAAATTTTCAAAGAAAATCATTTTTTTTATAAAAAGAACTTTGAGAAAATGAAAAGAATTTTGAAAAGAGAAAGGAATTTTGAAAAAGAGAAAAGGGTGTGGTGCATGCAATCAGCCGAGCTCAAGTAAGTATTCCCAAATTACCCATACAAGTTTATGTTATGTTATGATTATCAGCTCATGAGAACAGCATGCTAGATTAGGACTAAGGATCTAGGAAGGATGCCTTATGTGCCTATTATATGTGTATCAGCTTCATGAGAATTTCATGCTAGATTAGGACTAAGGATCTAGGAAGGATGCCTTATGTGCCTGTTATATGTATCTCAGCTTATGAACTGCATGCTAGTACAGATTAGTCAGGGATAGCCTGAAAGAGATATGCTTTATTATGTTTACTCGATGCTCGAATGTTGCTTGCTTTGTGCTTTTAGGAGTCTTAGTTATCTTTTACTAACTAGTAAATGAATATGTTACGTTACATATTGAAAGGATTAAATAATTTCAGAGGGTTAGGTCTAGCTCTATGGTGCAGCTCTTGTTTGAGTCCAACCATTGTAAGGTAGGATCTCTCATTCGAATAATTATCTAGTCTTAGTAATATGTAATAATAATCACGAGCTAGTTAGGGGGAGGTAGCAGGGACTTCTTATGCAGCTGATAGCGGAGAGTGGGTTGGTGATTACCCTAGGGCAAGCCTAGGAAGAGTTTAGTATGAGATCAGCAGTAGTAGCAGTGGAAGGGACTTGGTGGAGTCGATGCAGTTCTTGAGGAAAGTACGGATAGATGTGGAAGGTAGTATGTGCCCGTACTACTGAAAGCATAGGATCCGTACTCGAATCAGGAAAGGCTGAGATGAATCCAGGGAACTTGTAGTATGTTAGATCCCTCGAGATTTGATGAGTATACTGATGTTTGTTATGGTGTATTTTCAGTATGGTGGTTCTACGTCCTAGGCCGGCGGGCACTTCCGGTGAGGGATCAGGCTCGGGCTCTGGATCCGAGCAGATGGATGAGCAGACGAGGGAGTTTCTTTCGTCTGAGGTTACACATAGCATTCTAGAGCAGACTCCTGTGATTTTTGGATCGGTTACACGTCATGAATCATTCCTTGACAAAACAAATATTCAATAGTTAGTGCGGATTCTTATCAAGACAAACACTTCACACAATTGGCCTTAGTTGGTCTTTGTTTTATCCAAAATCATCACAACTTACCAATTTCAAATGTACAAGAGTAGAAAACTTTTACTCTACATTTGATAAGTGTTTTAAACCTTTCTTAATATTATGTCACTCAAGGTTACAATCTTGGAGTATGACTCTAAGACTTGTTTTCGAAACGAAGTATGACTCATCTTCTTGATTTAAACTATTTCAACAATTCACGATTCCTCTTCTTAGCCATACAAATGCACTAAGATGTCTTTAGAGGATCAATTGTGATATGGTTTTTTTTTCCATAAACATTAAGATGATCATAAAACACGATACTAAAGTACGCTCCCATCCTTTCAGATTGGAGAAACTTTTATCTTTCTGCCTAATTTGATTCTTCTCATTCGTTCTGCCATACATTGAACCTTTTCCAATGTTTCAGAATTATACTTAAACTTGTAAGCATAACCATGTTTACTAAACTTTAGTAAATCATGACGAATAGTCTTATCGTTCATTGTGGTGGATCTTGACCAGCGCACACCCAGTGTACCCGATCCCCTAGTCCTTCACTTGACTCACATATACATGTGAACAAGGAATTAGTCTTAATTTACCAAAGATGAAAATTCTCATTCATCATACAATACAACTTGCATGATTCCAAGTTTCTGTCCAATTGAAACTTGGGTGATGAGAATCTTTCATTATTTGGCAAATACTCGACATTACCACGAACGAAAGAATCAAATTCATATTGCTAAAACAGAAACATACAAACATCAATTTTCACAAATGCCATTGCAAGGAGATATAATAAAAATAAAAACAAAAATTTTATTTATTTATAAAATGCGGAAAAAACTTTTCCTTACAATGCAATTACAAATGAAAACTATGTTGCTACATATTTCTAAGCAATCTATCACAACTCTTAAGCAGCAGCTCAAAAATCCGATCATCGAACCATGCGATTGAAATCCATCTTCGCGACCAGATTCAGCCTACTCTGCCTTTAAGCTTCCTTCCCTTTGCATGATCCTACAAAACATCAAAATGCAACCTTGTCACATCATGTATTAAAAATCAACAATTAGGAACTTAATAGAGTTAGATAGTAGACTTGCCTGAAGCAGAGTCAAACTTTTCGATTCTACCTTTTCCCAGATCTTTCAGGTAGTCAGGGCAGCTTCGCAACCAATGCCCCTTTTCTTGGCAATAGAAACATATAGAGTCTTTGGGAATGGTACACGGGACAATCTCAGACTTAGCCTTTCTCTTTCCCTTGGAAAGATAAATCTTTTCTGGACTTCCAATGTTTCCATTGTCAATCTCCATGGAAGCTTGGGTAGTAGATCTTCCAATCAAACTTGCTTTTCCAGTGCGCCAAATCATTGTTGATTCAGCAGCAACAAGCAAATAGGTAAGATCAATAAGGGTCATGTCGAGGTCTGTCACATAGTAGTCCTTAATGAACTCACTATATGACTCAGGAAGTGATTGAAGAACCCAGTCAACCGCCAACTTCCTCGAGACAACGACACCCAATACTCTCAGCCTGTTAAATATTGACTTCATCTCCAAGACGTGAGTACACACAGGCCTTCCATCTTGATGTTTCATTGCAAGTTGGGCTTGAGTGACCTTGAATTTTTCAAGTCTTTGAACTTGTGGGTTAGGGAGAATTATTGGAGGAGGTGGAGGAAGTGAAGTATGACTTCCACGATCCAACCGCGGGACATCATCTTCAAGAGGAAAGCTTGTTTCCAAAAGATTTGGGAAGACCATAGTTGTCTGAACTAGACATCTACAATGGGAGAAATTCAAGTTAGTTGATTTAAGTCCTTAATATAACACCCAAATGAAATATTAAGGCTAGGACCCAACACAATATTTTACAATTTTGAAGAGGGATGCCGTAATCCAATTGCAAAATATTTGAAGGTAGGTAAATGACGATTTACCAATTTCCATCACAAAAAACGA